CCTCCCCGGCGGCCTGAGGGGTCGCTGCCGGGAGGAGGGGAAGCGGCGGTGTCACAGGCGGGTGTTGCACGCGGGGTCGGTGTTTACAGCTGGTGGTGGCAGCAGCAGGTTTGTTTGTTCCTCACACCCGTAATGAGGCGTTTCCTTCAGCCCTGATGCTTTGCTGCATGTCTTGTGGGAAACAGCAGGATCAGTTACCCTTTGTGAGTTACACTGGTTGTTGTTCGTTTTTTCCAGATGCTGAAAGGATTGTTGGTTATACATGATTAGTGACATCGTAGAAACTAAACAATGCCAACGGAAAGATCCCATGGATTTGTTTCATTCTGGGCAAGTTGTAAAAATATGTGCCCCGATGGTCCGCTATTCAAAGTAAGTAATTGCTGAGAGAGTGGATATATTAAAGATATCTTAGCTTGACTTTTAAGGTTATGCTGACAGGTTTGAAAGATGCTTAATTGTGCTGGTTTAAGCAGTTCTGCCGTCTGGAGCTACACTTGGGTCAGTTTTCTAACTCCTAAGGCCTGCAGGAAGGCTCTGGGTTTGAGGGACCCTGCAACTTGTGGTTAAAACTAGTTGCAGCCAGTTCACTGTACAGAAGGAGAACAAGGTACAGGCTAGGGGAGCACTGTGCATGCCTAGAAGGAAGGTTCAACTCCAGGGCACTCCAGGACATCCCTTGAAGATGACCAAAGAACCTCTAGAAAACTAAGAACATATGCATAATGGTATGTGAATATGTATGGCTAATTGATGCATAGGTATGTAAACAGAATAACAGAAAGGCAGTGGCTGGAAGGGACCTCTGGAGATCATCTAGTTCAACATCCCTGCTAGAGCAGATTACACAGGGTTTTAATGTCTCCAGGGATGGAGACTCCACAGCCTTCCTGGGCAGCTTGTTCCAGTGCTCTGTTACCTTCAGAGTAAACAAGTATTTTCTTATATTTAGGCAAAACCTCCGATGTACTAGTTTGTGATCATTCCCCTTTGTTCTGCCACTGGATATCACTGAGATGAGTCTGGCCACATCCTCCTGACACCCACCCTTTAAATATGTATAAGCACTTGTGAGACCCTCCCCTTCAGTCTTCTTTTCTCTAAGCTGAACAAACATGAGCTCTGCCTGTTGTGACTTGCAGCATGCACGTTAGGCAGAAGTATTCCCTGTGCATCCAGCATGCTGCAGTAAAGAATGCCTGCCTTCTAAAACTTCAGAACAAGTCTTAAAGGATTTCTTTGCTGGATTTTACAGGATCACTGCTGTGTCAACTACATTTCAGTGCATTTTCTCTGACAAACTTTTATCTTAATTATAAAAACATGGATTATTACCTTTTTCTCCTTTAATTAAGATGGAGATAGGTGTGGGAGATGGTTTATAATGGTACTTGGGCATCCCCATGGTGCTGCATGTCAGAACAGCATTTTAAAATAGGTAATCAGAGAAATGTCCTTACCATTTATCCCTTTTCATCTGTCTGCAGGTTGTCTTTCAGAACCCTGGTTAGGAAATACGGTTGCGATTTGTGTTACACACCAATGATCGTGGCAGCTGATTTTGTGAGATCTGCAAAAGCAAGAGACAGCGAATTCACAACAAACAAAGGTGTTTTTTTTTAAGAAATCATTGCCTTGTCAGAATGTTTTTATGTGTTGATAAACCAAATTGACCAAGTGAATGAAGTCTTGACATCCCTTAAGAGTTTTGGCATACAAGGTCTGATTGATTGTAAAACCGTATTCTAGGTAAGAGTAAACACATTCCAATGATAGAGTGTCAAATGAAATAGTGGAAAAACTTGCCGCCACCAGAAGTCAGAGTCTCCAAACTAATTTAGGTGTGTTGTGGGTTGACCACACATGGCAAGCCAGCAGCTGTGCACCCACACAGTTGCTCACTCATTCCTCCCCCACCTCCACAGTAGCACAGGGAGATACTAGGAAGAGCAAACACGAGGAAAGCTCATGGGTCAAGATAAAGACAGCTTCATAGTGAAGGGAAGAAGGAGGAAAAAAACAGGTGATGTAAAGGCAGTCACTTCCGACCTCAGACCAGCAGACCAATGCCCAGCCAGTCTCTAAGCAACAGCCATCCTGGAATATAATTTCCATGTCCCAACCCACTTTTCTTCTTCCTCTACCACTCAGGCAGGGCAGAGTGAGTAAAAAAAGGAAGTATCGTGCAACAATAGCCAAAATATTGATGCATTATCAACATTGGTTAGCAGCACTGCTGCATAGAGGCTGCTATAAAAACTAACTCCATCCCAGCCAGATGTAGTAAGTTTATTTTCCAAGTAATTCCTGTTTTGTGTTGTGGTTCAGAAACTTGATGCCAGGAAAGTTTTCTGGTTTCTAACAAAAATACAATGATTGCTAAATGGGGAAAAAACAATGGACTAGACATTGAGACAGTGGAATCAAGGATTGATAAAAGAAGCAAGGATTTCAAATTAGCTGGAGTTGAAAGTGAAAGGGGCTATTGATGGATTCCTTGATAATGAGATAATGAGAGGGTGATGAAGAGGCCAGGAAGTTGAAGCATGACTTGGGTTGATGGGGAGAAGCAAGGTACAGAAACAACCAGAACACATACCGAAAGGAGTATAAGGAGTTGTACAGAATCCTGGTAGTAAAGAAGAGAAAAGTTGTATGAAATATGTGGGAAAAGGTGACAATAACGATACAAATCTGCTGGCATGAAGTGGCTGTAATGGAAGAGTGTAACAAGGAACACAAGCATAAGCTGCAACTGGAGGATTGAAGGGGGCTCTGCTAATCCGGTAGTAACATTGGTGTATAGGAGTTTAGGAAGTGTGATGATTTAATCTCTTCAGACCATGGAACTGGTAGTTTCATAAGTGTATATATAATAGCAGGAGAAGTATATTTCATTCTTTTATTACTGGCTGTTTGCTATAGTGCATTGTTAGAGCAGAGCAGTTACAGGAAAAAGTCACATTGGGAAGCACTGGTAAACTCTTATTATTGGAATTCTACTTTAAAAAACCATGAATCATTCTTTATGTGTAAAAAAAATTAGTAAGAACATAACTGAAAATATATGTGGCTCAAAGCTCCATAAAGCCACTAGTTTGCCCACTTTTAATTTAGTTATACTTAAGATCTACAAGTCTTCTGGAATTTAAGTTCCACAGGTCAGATATGTAGCGTATTCTGGGGGGGTGTAGAATATTGTGAGTAGAAGGGAAATTCTCCTTTATACTCTAATTTTGCTGTCTGTTAACAAGTGATATAAAACAAAATGTTCTTGTGTTGTAAACAATGTCTTCTTCCTATACAGCTCTTTTCATCCTGGCCTTAATTTTATAGGCCTTTAAAACATTCTGCCTCAGATAGCTCTGCCAAGATTATAGTGTTTATTTTATTATGTTTTTAACAAGTAATTCCATAACAGGTTGTGAAATTTCACTGTGGTTTTATGTTTAATTTCCTAGCTGGTTTTGGATTTTGTCATCTAACTAATGGAGTAGGTTTGGAGCCTAGAATTGCAATTTCTGTTTTCTTCAGCATTGATATTTCTTTGTTGTGTATTTTTCAAGTATAGGTAGATATTTTTTGTGACTGCTGCTAAAAATTAATATGGCTAGACTCTATTTTTGTTACTTAATGCTCAACCATAAAAGTAGGACCGTGGGTTTATTTCAAAATGCTAGCTGTAACAATATAGTTCCCATCAGCTAGAGCACTGTATTAAATAGATACTGTTTTGAAAATATGCAAGAGATTTTATTTTTTGCTTGCTGGATTTTTAGGTAAGGTCTAGCAGAGTCTCAGCTTGATTGAGAGGCTCCACTACGTCAAAAACTACTTATTTTCCACTAAAATAGAAAAATATTCAGAAGCACTTGTGGTCTTTTCTGTACCAGAAGTTCACTTGCCATGTGCATTTGTTGGATCATCTCTTCCCATCAGTGCTCAGATACCCACTTTGCTCCTAACTGCAGCAATTGTTTATATGGGACATGAGTGCTAAGACTGTTTGAGATATTTTTAGGTGCCTGTAATGTAATGCAGTAGCTGTAAAAGAGGACCAAATGACCATCTGGCTCTCTGCAGGGGCTTAGTAAATCACAAGTAGTTCAGCTGAGGAGCACTGACTCTGGTTTCCCACTTGAGACAAGGCTGCTAAAGCTGCCTCTGCCTGTGTGTTCTCATTCCAGCTCTGCATATTGACATGTGGATAAAAAACAGACATATTGGCACAGAAGAGGAAAAAAGTGGGCCAGGATAAGGGAGGGCAAAGCTTGTGGGTTGTTCAGCACCTTCCTTCTTTGAAGGCAGCTTACAGGTTTGTTCTGTAAGCAAGTTTCCCACCTGGCAAGACAGCCCTGTCAGTACAGCAAAGGGGCTGCATGCAGACAAGAAGGGAAAGACTAGGAGGAGAAGCATGAAGGCAGCTGAAAAATAGAGAATACTTAGTTTCATATATCATCTTTGTGAAAGATAAGCATCTGACCAATTTCAGTCAGTGTCTGTTGAGCCTGCAACCATCTGGGGCACATATGTTTGTCTGTATTACCATCTCTGTTGATAGACACTAGTAACCACTGGTCATCTACCTTTATTTGTGAATACAAATTAGAATCACAAAATAGTTGAGTTTGGAAGGACTTACAGCCAGTTGTCTAGGTCCATGACAACCTTCCAATATAAAAAAAAAATACAAAATTTAGAAAGTCTTTTTACTTTCTAGGTTGTTGCGTTTTTTTAAATCTCTAATTATCTTTTCATTGGAGTAGGTGATCATCCATTGATTGTTCAGTTTGCTGCTAAAGAAGCACAGGTTTTGTGTGATGCTGCCCATATCGTCTGTCCTTTTGCAGATGGAATAGACCTAAACTGTGGCTGTCCTCAGAGGTGAAGTTTTGAAAAAGCTGGGTAAATGTGCTGAAATAATTTGAGAATAAAGAATGTTGATCTTCATTTTTGGAGTAATTTCTGTCTTAACTTAAAAATAGACTTTTAGAAACAGCTTTTTAACCTGTCAGAAATGTCTGTGTGGCCAGACGCTTCTGAATGTTCTGATATGCTGTCACCATGGTGAAACTAGGAAAACCATGTGTATTTGCCAACTTGCCTTTTTTGATTTCTGAGACACTGAGTGCTGGCTCAGAAGTGAAGTGTCCATCCCTTCTCAACAGCTGTTAAATATGCATTACCAAAAAGAACTTGCTGCAAATAATTTAGAGAATGTTTTGAGAAATTATGTGGCAATTTCCAAAATAATGAGGCAAGTCCCTGGTGTCCCAGACTTCTCCAAGTGAAGGATAGTCTCTAAGAGATAATTCTACAGATATTATTCAGGAAGTGCTGAAAATAATTTATTCCATCTTTTATTAGGTTTACAAGTGCAATGAATTAGTGATCTACTTCTCACTAAAATTGATAAAGATTTTATCTTGACAGTGAAACAGTAGTAACGCACAAACGAAGATTCTTGCTAAGTGGTTCAATTTAGAACCATTTAATACATGCTTGTCAGGCAGTCTTTCTAAGTGAAGTCCTCAAAAATAAATGTAGGAAAGCAAAAGATAATATTACAGTGCAAATACTTAATTTGTCTCTTCTAAATAGGTTGTCTTGACTTAAAATTATAGCATTTGAGAAAGCTTTTCTGAAAAGATATGAGACATCAGAACAGATACATTTTTTTCTAAGCTAACTACAGTTCAGCATGCCTAACTGTGAGTTCCTTTTAGGCCAAAAGTGCATGCTTTCATTTGAATACTTTGTTTCTTGTGCATTCTGGTTTCAAGGTAACAAAACTGTGCATTTCATCTGCCCTTATAAAAAAAAAAAAAGTTTACAAAAAATCCTGCTGCTTTTACATGGAATCAAAGGTTATTTTCTGCCAATCAAAATAAAGTGTTTTGCAGTTGAGGGAAAACAGAATATTACGGAAATCGTATCCTTACTTGCACGTCAAAAATCTTCCTTTTCAATCCAAAGTAATTTTCTGTTTAGAAGACGTTTATGATCCATTGCAAGGGGAAGCATAAAACTATTTATTTTATGTATAATTTCAACCGTTGTTGATTAAATGTTAATTTATCTTCCTTGCAAGCCCATTTGGTGGGCAGAAAGTTGAAGGGATTATTAAGTTGTACAATGTTCTAACAGCACAGTGGAGACTGAACCAGGATCTAAAAGCTGGTGTCAAACGGCAAATGAGCCATTGATCTACAGCCCGTACTATCTCTGTTTACTCAGCCACATATTCTAAAGGTCCTAAGGAAACAAACCTATTTATTGACTGAAAATGAGCTGCATTTTTTTTTTTCAAATGTAGAATACAAATGTTCTTTTTCTTTTAAAGGTGGGCAATATCAGAAGGCTATGGTGCCTGCCTAATAAATAAACCAGAGCTTGTTCGAGATATGGTGAGACATGTACGGAATCAGATTGACAACCCTAGATTTTCAGTATCCATTAAAATAAGGTAGGTCTACCTTCAGTGCTGTTTGTGGTTTATAGAAGAATCCTTTTCGGTTTTTTTAAAGAAAAATATTCATGTAATAGTTACATTATACTTCAAAATATGTAATTTTGTTAATATAATATTACATACTATAATAATTTCCTTGCATGTGAAGACTGCTCATATATTTTTACCCAAGATGGTGCAAGAATATCTAGGGCAAGTGTTCTCAAACTTAGCTAGTAGAACCAGCACAGCCTGTGACTGCTTACCCAGATAACACTTGATGCTAGATTTTTTTTGCAATCCAGACGACATGAAAGGAGAAGTTCAAAGGTCTAGGGTTCAGTAAAAGAAAAGCAATACATATCATCGCATGGAATTACTTTGTGAGGTCTTGAAGGCCAGAGCCACAGTCATAGAATCATAGAATCCTAGGGGTTGGAAGGGACCTCGAAAGATCATCTAGTCCAACCCTCCCAGTTACTGTTACAGTTACTGTTGGCTGTAAAGGGAAGGGTAACAGAACTGGGAACTTGTCCCCACAGCTGCAGTAAGGAACACATCCTGCTTCCCATCACTTGCTAAACTTCTGTAAACTCTTCTTTCTATTGCTTTGCACCACTTCATCCACTATGTATCCACACATTCCATGTGGCTTTTGTCTATTTGTTAGTTAAGTTTCAATTCAGTTTGCAATCCTTCAGGACAGGGGAGCTAGTATAAATCAGAATTATTTTTTTTTCCATAAAATAGGCAAAATCATTATTTTTTTTTAGAATCTATTGGGCACACATGCTCAATCTCTGTAAAATTTGTTATGTATATTTCAGAGATGTGATATAATTGGGAACTGCTAAATTAAATAGTGGTTTCAATACATTACATTTTTATATATTTATTTTTAAAAGACCCTCTCTATCTTTCAGCAGTAATATTTTCTTTATTTATACTGTTATACAAATCTGTGGTAACTCCTCCAAAGAGAGGGGTGGGGTAATACAGTTCATGCAACTTCCTATATAATGTTTTCATTCCTTGGAATTTTAGGATCCATGAGGACTTAAAAAGAACAGTTGACCTGTGTCAAAAAGCAGAAGCTACTGGAGTTTCATGGATTACAGTACATGGGAGAAGTGTAGAAGAAAGACATCAGCCTGTACATTATGATGCAATTAAAATAATTAAACAAAGCATGTCTATACCTGTTGTGGCTAATGGAGACATTAAAACTTTGAAAGATGCTGAAAATGTTCATCTCTTGACAGGAGCAGATGGTAAGATTAAACATACTATGTTTTCTAAGTAAACTTAAAATCAGATTTCAAAGTATTGATTTTGGCTGTAAGTAGGACATGATTTGAGTACTTTTCATTTTTTGAGGAGACAAATGAAAGAATGTTTTAGATTCCTTATAAACTCATAAACAAAATCATTTGTAATCAACATAGAGCACTGTTATTCAAAACCACAAATAATTATTTCCAAGGCAAATTACAAGAGCTCTTTCCTTAATCAGGCTATCTCATCACTCAGTAGTGGAGTTCAGGGGGACCTTCAGACATGTGATTCATTCAGTCTCTTTATGGAGCTGATCACCTTCTAAAGAACTGCAAACTTGGAAATCTGTACTTCCTGCACATGGGAGCAGATATCTTACAGTAAGAATATGGCAGAAAAAGGAGAGCCAGATACTTAACTGTTAGATAGTTAGCTTCAAAGACATCTTGTCTTACACTTCACTTGTAAAATTTTGGAGTAAAGGATTCCCTTCAGTTATTTAGTCACAATATATTCCTAGATTCCTACTACTTACTATCTGTGGTTTCAAGATAATATGGAAACCCAGTCTATGTTTTGAAGAGGTGTCTGTAACTACACTCTTTGGATCTTACATCTGAAGAATTAACAGGACAGAGAACACTAGCTAGTGTCACAGGAGAAAGTTCATGTGGCAGGTTTCTTCTGACACTCTTGATATTTAATGACAACAACAAAAACTAATTGAACCAAACTACCATGCTGCTACAGTGACTCTCCCCCCAAATAAAAAGCAGGAAGGAAATATGTCACAGAAAGGAATATTCTCATAGCTTAGCTGACCACCTTCAATAGTAAAAATGTAAAGCATCAGAATTTTTTCTGTCATATACAATTATGAAAGGAATTTGTCATATTTGTTCATCCTGTTTTTTAAGAAGAGAGTGAGTGGAATAGATTATATGTTGACAGTGCAGGAAAATAGAATTGCAAAAAAATTACAAATTATTTGCAAAAAAATTACAATAGAACTTGCATGGGTTTATCTAATAATTTGGGATTATAGTTGCAAATATATTGTCTTGTTCAGAAAGATACTGCAAACCAAGAGCCCTGAGATTGATATAACTGAGACATTGATGTCTTGCTGGAAGAAGGATTATGGATCAGTGCATCAGCTGAGTTGCACTAACAATTGCTTAACTTACCATATTACTGGTACCCATGTGTCTTTCCATCATAATTTTATGTTAAAAAGACAGGCTTGTATATGTATAGAAAATAAAATTCTATTGAATTGCAGTTTGAAAAGTAGGGAAGAAAGGCTTCTGTGCCCTGTGTTTTGTTTCAAATTTCTGGAAGGATGAGTCACCAAGTGGAATGTGTTGAAAGGTGGTGTAGGTACTCTGAGGTTTGGATTTTTTAATGGATTTCTCTGGTAAAAATACTCATCTCTATTCTATTACTTGTGTGTAAGCTTTGGGTGGGTGTCCTAAGGGGTGCTATACAAAATCTTCAGGAAGATTTAATGTAGAATTTAAACTGTCATGTAACTTACTGCTTTAATTTCCAATTTGAAGGTATAATGGTGGCTAGAGGACTCTTAGCAAATCCAGCAATGTTTGCAGGATATGAAGAGACACCTTTGAAGTGCATTCAGGACTGGGTTGACATTGCTCTTGAGCATGGAACTCCATTTACTTGTTTTCATCATCACTTAATGTACATGATGGAACGGATAACTTCAAAACAAGAGAAGAAAGTTTTTAATGTTTTATCAAGTACTTCAGCAGTATTAGATTATCTGAATTACCATTATGGTGTGTGATGACTAAGCATTTCAGTTCTGTGTAAACTTGTATTTTGCAATTGTTGATACATTATTGAAGTTTTAATTGGATTTTTACTTAGTCACATTCACATATTGCAGAAGTATTTTCAACACAGTCTAACTTTATGATCAGAGTGGTACTTTATATTTTTGTATCAGCATTTTTCACTCCAGAAAATATTCCAAATTCCACAAATGTGGAATTCTGTTTACAGTGCACTGCTACATAGAGGTTTGACCATTTTAAGACTCCAGCAATTTATTTTTTCACTGGACAGTTGCTCACGGTAATATGTCTACAAGACTAGGGTTTTTCTTATGTGAAACCTCCTAAAATCGAGACTACTAATAAATAATACCAAAAATTTCAGACCAAAAGAATACAAAGGGAGCAATTACAGAATTCTTTCTTTAACTGATATAAGCTGTACTTTTCAATTTGAGTAGTTTCTAAGCTTAAAGACTGTGAGGCCTTGAAGCCCAGCATTGTATCCTTTTTTAAATAAGGTGTTCTTTTTGCAGACTATAACTTTCTAAACCCAGTTAAAACATGAAAAAATTCCA